TCTGAAGAGGTAAGGAAGGAGCCAGGATACATTGACATATTCTGCTGGAAAAAAGACATGTAGTCGAACTGATCTCTGGTGGCCTCGGCCAGCAGCGGCTTGAATCAGGATCTTGGTTCCCCAGCCAGAGATTGGAGTCAGGCCACAGCAGTGAAAGAGCTGAATCCTAGCCACTAGACTATGAGGGCCAGTGGCCAGTGACAAGGCCCTGGCCCACTGGCTTTGTAGAAATGAATTTCCACGAGGAGATGGAAAGTAGTGAAACAAGTAGTGTTTATTAGGAGGAAAAAGAGCACATGTGAATAGACACACATGGGCAGGCTCAGAGAGGGAGAGTCGTGCCCCCATGGTAGTTTGGGGCATTTCTTCCGGGTTTCCTCTGGTCAATCATCTTGCTTTGCCCCGCTCTGAGTCCATATTTGGTTTATCTCAGGATCCTCCCCTGTGTGCGTTCACATCGCTTAGCCAAGATGGAGTCTAGTGAAGAGGCCTATGGGTAGGTTGACATCGTAACAGGGAAGAGCAAATCCTGACTCCATGTTGCATCTGTTTCTTTTACTTTAACCTTTGCTTTTTGTTACTTTACTTCCTCACCTCTTCCCCTTCTCTGTTCTATAAAAGAACCTGGCATCCAGACCTGGATAAGATGGTTTTTTGGGGTACACTTGTCTGCTATCTTCTCAGTCCTCCAGCTTTCCGAATAGTCACTATTCCTTGCCTCAACACCTCATCTCCCGATTTATTGGCCTGTTGTCCGGTAAGCAGAGTGAGCTTGGACTCAGTAACAACATCATCTACTATGCTTTTTTTTTTTTTTTTTCTTTGCGGTCCACAGGCCTGTTACTGTTGTGGCCTCTCCCGTTGCGGAGCACAGGCTCCGGATGAGCAGGCTTAGCGGCTATGGCTCACGGGCCTAGCCACTCTGCGGCATGTGGGATCTTCCCAGACCGGGGCACGAACCCATGTCCCCTGCATAGGCAGGCGGACTCTCAACCACTGCGCCACCAGGGAAGCACCCCTTCCCTTTTTGATCCCTGAGGAGCCTTTCTGCGCATGTGTAGTCAGGGAGGTCTCCTTGACCTTGAGAATGAGAAATATGTGGACTTTTTAAAATTTTTATTTATTTATTTATATTCATTTTGGCTGTGCTGGGTCTTAGTTGTGGTGCAGGATCTTTGTTGGGTTCTGAGGGATCTTTAGTTGTGGCATGTGGACTCTTAGTTGTGGCATGCAGGCTTCTTAGTTGCAGCATGCGGACTTCTTAGTTGCCACATGTGAACTCTCAGTAGCGGCACGTATGCGGGATCTAGTTCCCGGACCAGGGATCGAACCCAGGCTACCGGCATTGGGAGTGCAGAGTCTTACCCACTGGACCACCAGGGAAGTCCCTCTTTATCTTTTATCTGGGCAAGACTCACTCTTCTCTGGCCCTGCCACTACTGTTTTTTCTTTTTTTAATTTTTATTGGAGTATAGTTGATTTACAATGTTGTGTTAGTTTCAGGTGTACAGCAAAGAGCAAAATGAATCAGTTATACATATACATATATGAACTTTTTTTTTTTTAATTCTTTTCCCATATAGGCCATTACAGAGTACTGAGTAGAGTTCTCTGTGCTATACAGCAGGTTCTTATTAATTATCTATTTTATAATATAGTAGTGTGTATATGTCAGTCCCAATCTCCCAATTTATCCCTCCCTTCCCCCCCTTATCCCCTGGTAACCATAAGTTTGTTTTCTACATCCGTGACTCTACTTCTGTTTTGTAAATAAGTTCATTTATACCCTTTTTTTTTTTAAGATCCCACATATAAGCAATATCATGTGATATTCGTCTTTCTGTGTCTGACTTACTTCACTCAGCATGACAATCTCTAGGTCACTAGAGGCAAAGTCCAGCAATTTACCCTGTTCCTGTTGTTACTTCTATCTGGAAGTGTAAACAGGAGGCTGGCTGTAAATGTCTAACCTGGAGCCCATCTATCTCCTGCGTCAGAACATCAAAAGATTATTGCTAATCACAAGGAACAGATGCCTCAGGTCAATGATTGGAGTGCTTTCCTACGTATGGGAAGGTGCAAGAATCTGGGTTCATAGAAATTATGTCTTAGAAATGCATCTTAACTATCTAATGCCAATATCCAAAGTGCAGAATGCCTCCTGTTTTTCCCCATCCTGAATTACCCTCAGGGAGCACTGTGGGCTGCTGTAGCTAACGGCTGGATCCTTGTAGAACTGGGATGGTGGGCAACATTGTTCACTGGAATGGCAGGCAAAATCCCCTGTCCACAAGCACTGGGATTCCTAAAACTCTCAGAAATATAAAAACTAACCCAAATGTTTTTCAAGTTCATGTGATCTGAGGTAATCTTTGGTAAATAAAAGCTAAATTTGTTGGTTTAATTAAAATAGGTTATGTCTTCAAAGTTATCATTAGAAATAATGCAGGCATACAACTTTTTTTTTTTTTTTTTTTGCGGTCCGGGGGCCCCCCCCCGCTGTGGCCCCTCCCGCCGCAGAGCACAGGCTCGGGACACGCAGGCTCAGTGGCCATGACTCACGGGCCGGCACGTGGGATCCTCCCGAACTGGGGCACGAACCCGCGTCCCCCCCATCAGCAGGCGGACTCCCAACCACTGCGCCACCAGGGAAGTCCAAGACATACAACTTTTATTCCACCCGAGTACACTAGCTAAATAAGTTCATGCTGTTTCTGTTACCAAATTTGTTAGCAAGAAAAACAACTTGGTATGATGAAATTTTCATGTTAAGAACAAGTGAATTGGGACTTCCCTGGTGGTCCAGTGGTTAAGAATCTGTTGCAATGCAGGGGATGCTGGTTCGATCCCTGGTTGGAAAACTAAGATCCCACATGCCGCGGGGCAACTACAGAGCCTGTGTGCTCTGGAGCCTGTGCGCCACAAGTAGAGAGAAGCCTGCACCCCCACAATGAAAGATCCTGTTTGCCGCAACTAAGATCCAACGCAGCCAAAAATAAATAAATAAATATTGTTGTTTTTTTTTAAAAAAAAAGAACAAGTGAATTAAATAGACGTAAATGGGATAGGAGTCTTTAGGTAGGGCTTCCCTGGTGGCGCAGTGGTTGAGAGTCTGCCTGCCGATGCAGGGGACATGGGTTCGTGCCCTGGTCCGCAAAGATCCCACATGCCGCGGAGTGGCTGGGCCTGTGAACCATGGCCGCTGAGCCTGCGCGTACGGAGCCTGTGCTCCGCAACGGGAGAGGCCACAACAGTGAGAGGCCCGCGTATCACACACACACAAAAAAGAGTCTTTAGGTAAAACACTTCAGCAATTATTTTATTTTATGTCATGTTTACTTAAATAGTTTCCATTATTTAACTTAAGTAAGTTAAAGTTAATAATGGACATTTATTAAATATTTAGATCATTTTCAAATAAAATAAAATACTGAAACATTAATCACTGAACATAAGTTAATCCACTTTTGGTTTCCTTATACAAAAAAAAAAAAAAAAAAGACCCTAAATATATTTAGGTCTATTAGTAAAAATCTTTTCTGCTACATTGGAAAATTTACTATGAGGAAGATGTACTCCTAGAAATTATGGAATGTATTTATCTCTGCCAATCCATAGAATGCTAGTGTAAGAGACTGTCCACGATTACTCACTTCTTAGTTTTCACTAGAAATTAAGGATTCTAATGGTTAAGAATTCTAATTAAGATATGTAATTGAAACTACTTAGAAATAATAAGGGTGAAAGGAGACAACTGTGTATGAAAAGTAGGTAAAGAAAGTAGATGGATTTCCCTGGTGGTGCAGTGGTTAAGAATCCACCTGCTACTGCAGGGGACACAGGTTCGATCCCTGGTCTGGGAAGATCCCACATGCCGCAGAGCAGCTAAGCCCATGTGCCACAGCTACTGAGCCTGCGCTCTAGACCCCGTGAGCCACAGCGACTGAGCCCATGTGCCACAACTACTGAAGCCCACGCACCTAGAGCCCGTGCTCCGCAACAAGAGAAGCTACCGCAATGAGAAGCCCCCGCTTGCCATAACTAGAGAAAGCCCGCGTAGCAACAAAGACCCAATGCAGCCATAAATAAATAAATAAAAATAAATTTATATTAAAAAAACCCCAATAGTATGCTCTATATTATGCATTCTCAACAGGGGCAATATCAACTCCACCCCACCCCCCCAAACTGGGCAAAAATTTGTTCTTGGATATAGGCCAAGAAACCTTACATTTCAATGGGATGGATTTCATGACCTTAAAAAGACATTCTGGGGTTGTAGGAATACAACGCCCTCCCCCTGCCCCATTGGATTTATAATTTTAAGCTTTTTAGGTATATGTCCTAGGAAAGGGAGGTGTTGGCTGGATCAAACGATAAATCTTTTGGCAGTTTTGAGCTTTCACAGGCAGGCCATTTAAGGTGGGCAGGTTCTCTGGGGACACTGCCTTAAGCTGTTAAAAACCATGCCAAAATTTGGTCAAGTCACTTAGTGCAGGGGTTTGAATGGAGTCCTTCTGAGAGTTTTTGCAGTTCTCAATATGCAAGCTGAATTGTTTAGGGGTGAAGTGCACTGATATCTTCAATTTATCTTGCAATGCATGAAAAATAAGATGGATTGATGCATGCATACATTAACCACCATATGATAAAGTAAATATAACAAATGTTACTTGTAGAATCTAGTCTGTCCCCAGTCCCCCATTAGAATGTGAGCTCCCGGAGGGCAGGGACTTTTTCGGCCAGGCACAGGGTAAGCAGTCAGTAAATATTTGGGAAGCGAATACGTGCGAAGCACTAAGAACAAGTAAGCGCTCAGTGAGTGGAAGCGTTCATGAGTCTATTGTTGCTGGAAACCCACAACTTCCGGCCTTGGAAGTGAGGCCGAAAGTGCGCGCGCAGGCCCGGCGTGGTCGCTCTGGCCGCCTGTCGCCTCGGCTCTGTGGTGGGTCCTCCGGGCCGCGGAGCCTGCGCAGGGCAGCGCCTGCGGGGATCGCTATGGCAGCGGCGTCGCGGTGGGTCGGGCCTCTGCGCTGGCGCCCTGGCAGGGCCGCCTCAGCCGCCGCCCGCACCACTTCCTCTCTGGAATGAGCTGGGTCTCCCGCCGCTGCCGCCGCATCCCGACTGTGGGCCCGCTCCGGGATCATGCCCCTGACCGCCTACTGCTACCTGCGTGTCGTGGGCAGGGGCAGCTACGGGGAGGTGGCGCTCGTGAGGCACCGACGGGACGGCAGGCAGGTCGGCGGAGCTAGGGCCCGGCAGGGGATGGGAGCAGGCAGGGGTTTGCCGAGGGCGCCGTCCAAGGGCTGGGCCCAGATATTCTGAAGGGGACGCGCCTCAGATGGCACTTCTTCTGGGAAATCGTCCCAGACCATCAAGACTAGGCCAGGCCTTCCTGTTATATGCGCCCCGAACTCCCTGGCGTTCTCTTTGTAGTCGTAATCGGTGTGCTTAATCTGCACACTTTCCCCCAACTCTCGACAGTTCCCTGAGAGCGTACACTCCCAGGACCTAACGGCGGCGCCTGGCAAGTATTCCTCCTTCAATGAAGGGCCCCATACCCCGTCTGACCTGGAGACCTGTGGACTCGCTCAAAACTCAGCTCATCACCTTCCCTCCAAACCTCCTCTCACGGTCCCCATTTCAGGGAGTAGCACCACCAACCAGCCAGTTGCCCAAGCTGGACACCTGGGAGTCGTTCTGGGCTCCCCCACGTACCTTCCCCCACTCCCACCCCCTTATTCGTCTGTCCACTAAGCCAACTGGCCTCTTCTTCATCTCCATGGGTACCTCCCCCATCCAGGGCATCATTGTCTCTAGCTAAGCTGTGGCCATGGCCTCCCGCTTGTCCTCCCTGCCACATGACTTGCCCTTCTCCAATTCATCACTTTCATTGCAGTCTCAGTGATCTTTCTAAAATGTGCCTCTAATGTTGCACTTTATCCCATTAGCCTCAGGATAATGAACCATTTTGTAAATATGGTTTATAAACGGGTGACCATATAATGTATTGTACAAACTGGGACAATTTGGAAACTGAAAGGAGACACTATTTATAATTACATCAGGACAATGGGACTGCCCCAGACAAACTGAGAGGAGATGGCCCCATAAGTATAAGGTCCTCTCGCCTCTTCTGCCTTGTCTCAGGTGCTGGTCACTGCCTGGAACACAAGCTCAGACATAAGAGATTTATTCAATGGTCAGTGGGGAGGGGGGATTTTTTGAGCTGAGGATGGGGTACTAGCTGTAATAATAACCCCTCACATTTCAGCAGTAGTTTGTTTACATTTTACAAAGCACATTTATGCTTTGTTACAAAACACATATATGATTGTGTTTGTTGAATAATGAATTGTTTGGTGTGTCAGTTGGTTGAGGGCAATGTATTAGGTGTTGGAGGACTTTTTTTTTTTTTTTTTAAGTGAGAATAATTTTGGATGTTGAGGATAGGTGATGTTTAGCCTTATTGGGCCTTGGATCCCTTGGAGTATGTAATGGAATCCACAGACCCATTCTGTCTGCAAATGTATATTCAAGTCATATTGTATGCACCTTTGTAGGGGGAACTTAGAGGTTAAAGAATCTCTACCACAGATTTTTTGGTTAATTCAGTGGTATGTTAACATTGACTCATTTTTAGCCATTAATGAAATTGTAAAATGCAGATGGAAAGTATAATTTTTTTTGTGACACCCTACCCTGCTATAAATCTAACTTGAAAAAGTATCATTAGTGGTAACAAGTCTTTTTCCCAGTTTTGTGCTTTGTGAATAACAAAATGAATAGGTTATGTGGCAGTCTCCAGAAGGTTGGTTTTGAGGACACTCAGGATAATCCTTAAATACTTTTGAATCTATAATGCTGTATGTTTGTTTGCATATTGTAAAAACATGTGTTTTTTTTGTAGTATGTCATCAAAAAGCTGAACCTCCGAAATGCCTCCAGCCGAGAGCGGCAAGCTGCTGAACAGGAAGCTCAGCTCTTGTCTCAGTTGAAACATCCCAATATTGTCACCTACAAGGAGTCGTGGGAGGGAGGGGATGGTCTGCTGTACATCGTCGTGGGCTTCTGCGAAGGAGGTGATCTGTACCGAAAGCTCAAAGAGCAGAAGGGGAGGCTTCTGTCCGAGAGTCAGGTGGTGGAATGGTTTGTTCAGATCGCTATGGCTCTGCAGGTACTGTCAGGACTCATAGCATCCCACTTGCTCCAAGGTGACAGAGAGATGCTTGGTGGATTTTAGGAAAATGCTTCCCCAAATGCTTAATGAAAAAAAAAAATCTTTTAAAAATCCGTTTATGAAGTGGACCTAGTTCCTCTTGCTGTAGCACTGAAGTGTTTCTGAATGAGTGATACCTGTATTGAACCAGACATGGATTTTGTCTGATTGCTGGGAAAGGCAATTCTCTATTCATTTAATATTTATAGCAAAATCCACTTTAAGGGCCCTGAATTGACAAAGAGCAAAGAATGACCATGTTTGTTATCAGTTGGTCAGCTGCATCATACTGAAAGGTGGTTGGGCTAATTTTAATTAATCTGCCTAAACTGTGGGGCTTTGGGCTTTAACCCTGCTGTGGCAGAGTGAGTAGAAATGTGAAATATGTTTGTGTTTTAATATACACATATTCAAAAGTGAGACTGTTTATGGAATATCACTCTGACATTAGAGAATGTATCTTAGGATTTAAACAATAAAAGTGATATTGTTATAGTTGAACATATTATTAAGCTGAAGATTTCAGGAGCCTGAGAGGAATGTGCATCTGACCTTGTATAAGTTGTCTTTTCTACCTTCAGTGAAAGTTTGTAAGCACATTTTTTAACTGGGTCCGTATAATTCTAGATGGCATGATTGTCAAGTCACCAGGGAACAATTGTGAAGGAAGCTGGGCAAATTAATGCATGGAACTTAATTTCTTACTTTGGAAAGTTGTAAATTAGACTTTTTATTTAGAGATTATAAAACAATAGTGTTTTGATGTGTAGGTAAGGCTCATCTAAGAGTATAAGGCTGTTTAACTTATACAGTTGTTGATGGTATATAAGAAGTCAGGTATAAATAAGTCAGGTATTAAATATTTATATTTAATAAAAATTTATTTTTCTTCAGTATTTACATGAAAAACACATCCTTCACCGAGATCTAAAAACTCAAAATGTCTTCCTAACAAGAAAAAACATCATCAAAGTGGGTGACCTAGGAATTGCCCGAGTGCTTGAGAACCACTGTGACATGGCTAGCACCCTCATTGGCACACCCTACTACATGAGCCCTGAAGTGTTCTCAAACAAACCCTACAACTATAAGGTAGGATTCGGCTGTGTTTGCCAGCTCACCTTGTCTCTACAGCAGTATAATTTTAGAACCCATCAGAATAGTAAGTTAGAAGAATTCTCTGTGAATTGGTTTAAGGAAAATGTCTTTTTTTTTTTTTTTAAGGGGAAAAATGTAAATAAGGCATTTAACCATTTACTATTTTCTTTTCCTAGTCTGATGTTTGGGCTCTGGGATGCTGTGTTTATGAAATGGCCACCCTGAAGCATGCTTTCAATGCAAAAGACATGAATTCTTTAGTTTATCGGATTATTGAAGGAAAGGTAAAGAATGTTCTGGAATTAATTGTTTTTAATATTTGGAGCAAGGTTACTTTAGTGCAGCTTTGAAAGTAGCTACTGAGAAAAGGGAGTAATCATATTGGATGGATAGTTAAGAATGGTGGGTCCTGTATGTGGGGAGGGTTGAACTGAAGGAGAAGGGATTGATCGTTTCTTAATATTAATTTATAAGTGTGGTTTAATGGCTCTGAAGAATTGGCTTCTTGAAAACCAGTACCTTATAGACACAGGATGTGCAGGTGCCCTGAGGCTACTGGTAGCTTCACCTAAGTGGTTAAATGAGCCCTGTTTAAAAGGAGTCTACTCTGTTTGGACTTCCCTGGTGGCGCAGTGGTTAAGAATCCGCCTGTCAATGCAAGGGACACGGGTTCGAGCCCTGGTCTGGGAAGATCCCACATGCCGCGGGGCAACTAAGCCCGTGCGCCACAACTACTGAGCCTGTGCTCTAGAGCCCGCGAGCCACAGCTACTGAGGCCCGTGCACGTAGAGCCCGTACTCTGCAACAAGAGAAGCTACCAAAATGAGAAGCCCGCGCACCACAACGAAGAGGAGCCCCCGCTCACTGCAACTAGAGAAGGCCCACGTGCAGCAACGAAGACCCAACACAGTCAAAAATAAATAAATAAAATAAATAAAAGATTTATTTTAAGAAAAAGGGTCTACTCTGTTTGAACTTGTTGCTCCTTTGATAATCATCACAATCACTAGTAACCAGTTAAAAATTGCAGAAAGCATTATGTATGATAGATGCTAGAGTGACCAACTTTATGTGTCAGTTTCATGGGGCTAGTTGCCCCCTGCAGTGTCAGGCATCCTCACACCATTAAGTTTTAAGGCTGTAAATCACCTACTGATTTTAACATTATACCAAGACTCATTTATTTTTTTTAATTTGAAAAAATATCGAAAAACACAGAAAAAGTAAAATTTGCTCATAATTCCACTTCTTAAAGAATCAAACAAGAAAGGGGTGAAATTCCCCTGTTTCCATCCATTTCCATCCCTTGGAGATAACCATTGGTAATGGTTTGGTGCATAGCCTTCCTGGCTTTTCCCTGTCTTTATAACTCTGGGTGTGTATGTTAAAAAAGTAACTGAAATGGAATCAGGCTATACACAGTGGTACACAACCTGCTTTTTTGACTTAATAAATGAGGGACATCTTTCCAGGTCAGTACCTGTAAGTCTTGTATTTTTTTAAAGGCTGCCTGGTATTTTATTAGAAGGGTATACCATATGCTATTCCACAAGTACCCTATGAATGGCCGTTTACATTGTTTCCAGTTCACTATTACAAGAACGATACTGCAGTGAATATCCTGGTACATAAATCTTTAGGAACTCATGCTCTTATTTGTGAAGGAGAGGGTCCTCAAATGGGACTGCTGGTTTGAAGGATATATTTTATAATTTTACAACTTGCTATTATAACCAGGATGCCAGATACGCTTCCTGTAGACTAATATGCTGTTTTTTTCTGCTGTGGATAATGATTTAAAAAATATATCTTGGGAAACCTCTACCTTCTTTTACTTTTCACAAGACTGTTAGTCATACTTATGGTATTATTTCTCTTTGTAGCTGCCACCAATGCCGAAAGACTACAGCCCAGAGCTGGCAGAAATAATAAGAAGCATGCTGAGCAAAAGGCCCGAAGAAAGACCTTCTGTGAGGAGCATCCTAAGGCAGCCTTACATAAAGCGCCAAATATCCTTGTTTTTGGAGGCCACGAAGGCGTAAGATATTTCCCTTGCAAATAGGTCAGCTAAATAGATGGAATAAAAGAGGGTGGCTTTTATAATTTTCATGTATGAGAGTTTATGGTGAGTTTTTTAAAAACATGAAGTAGAATTGCATGGTTAGAACAAGTGTTGAGATTTGCTTAATTGCTAAAATAAAAAATCTAGAGAACCATTGGAGTAATCACTTTCACATTCCTCTGAGAGTTCCAAGACATATTGAGTACGATTCTTTTAAAAGGATGTGTGTTTTATTTTTTATTTATTTATTTATTTTTTTGCGGTACGCAGGCCTCTCACTGTTGTGGCCTCTCCCGTTGCGGAGCACAGGCTCCTGATGCACGGGGTCAGCGGCCGTGGCTCACGGGCCTAGCCGCTCCGCGGCATGTGGGATCTTCCCGGATCGGGGCACGAACCCGTGCCCCCTGCATCAGCAGGCGGACTCTCAACCACTGCGCCACCAGGGAAGTCCAAGGATGTAGGTTTTAGAAATCATATTAAAATGAGAGATCATCTAAGAAGCCTATTATTACGTTATGTACTATGTAAGATAATAGTCACATTTAAAAAATATTACTCAAATCTCAGAGGGCTTTTATAAGGTTCCCTCTTTACTCATATAACTTCTCAAGGGGATAGAATTCCTTCTTTGACTTTCAGGTCCTACCTTCACTAAATAGCTGTTCTAGGATCTGAGACTTAGAGCTGGACAAGACCTTCACAGTCCTTGTCTTTTGACGTGTTAAATTTGGGAGGCAATGCTAGAGAGGCCCTGGGGGATAAAGAAGGGTCATATTTTTGTTTACATTGCCTATAATTTCCTACCTACAGACCTTTGGCTTTCTGCAGCTCTGGTCTTCATGCTCCCCTTGAATTCTCCAGAGGTTTAGCTCCTTTGGAAAATGTCACACTTAAACAGTTGGGGATATTATTCCTGTATACATTTATTCTGCAAGTCAAGGCCGAGTATACCAATCATTTTTACTTTCAAATTTGGCAAAGCAGTTGTGGTATTATTACAAATGTGAAACTTGAAGATGAAAATTATCCTGGCACTTCTAATTGTGAGGCAAGTTTTCATAGGTTTTAAATCTTAGAATAATATTGTATTTACAGAAGAGTTGCAGAGATAGAACAGAGTTTCTGTATAACCCTCACCCAGTTTCTCCTATCAGCATCTTATGTTACCATGGTACATTTGTCAGAACTAAGAAAACAACATCAATATCTTATGTTGACTAAATCCAGACTTCACTTGGCTTACACTAGTTTTTCTACTAGTGTCCTTTTTCTGCTTCAGGATCCAGTCCAGCATACCATATTACTCCTCATTTCTCCTTAGTCAACTTGGGTCTCTGACAGTTTCTCACTTTCTTTGTTTTTCATGACCTTGATTGTTTTTGGAGATTACTGGTCAAGTGTTTTGTAGAACACCCACTGGTTTTTAGAAGACTCCTATCTATAAAAGGAGCAGTTCTATGGGAATTCCCTGGCAGTCCAGTGGTTAGGACTCCACGCTTCCACTGCAGGGGGCCCAGGTTCAATCCCTGGTCAGGGAACTAAGATCCCACAAGCCACATGGCACGGCCAAAAAAGAAAAAAAAAAAGAAAAGAAAAGAAAGAAAGAAATAAAACAAGCTGTTCTAAGAGGGAGTGTAACATGTATGCACATTTCCTCCTATATATAGAAACCTTTAACCTTCACTGTATTGATAATAACTTTTTCTTCTTTTCTTCCTCATAAAGAAAAAACTCCAAAAATAATATTAAAAATGGTGACTCTAAATCCAAGCCTGTGGCTACAGTGGTTTCTGGAAAGGCTGAATTAAGTCATGAAGCCGTTCCCCCTCAACCACACTCTTCTGAGGGCTCCAAGACATATGTAATGGTACGTCTCATTCTAAAGGATATGTGTTCTAGAAACTGTATTAAAATGGTAGGTTACCTAAGCTAGTTATTCTATGTGAAATGACTAAGCTTCATTAGATTTCTGTTGTGTAAGTAGTTTTGTATTGTAAAGAAGGAATACTGGTGAAGTATTCAAAGTGCCTATTAAAATGTTCATGAAGTCAGTGCTATAATAACTTTAAGAAGTTTTTTTTAATTGAGGTGGAATTTATATAACATAAAGTTAAACATTTTAAAGTGAGCAATTAATTGCATTTAGTATATTCACAGTATTGTGCGACCGTCACCTCTATCTCGTTCCAAAACATTTTCATCACCCCAAAAGGAAACCTCATACCCATTAGGTCGTCACTCCTCCTCCATCCAGCCCCTGTAAAACACCAGTGTTCTCTGTTTGTATGGGTTTGCCTATTCTGAATATTTGATATAAATGGAATCATACAATATGTAACCTTTTGTGTCTGGCTTCTTTCACTTAGCATGTTTTTGAGGTTCATCCAGGTAGCATATATCAATACTTCATTTATTTTTATGTCTAAATAATACTCCATTGTATGTATATACCACAGTTTGTTTATCCATTTATTCATTGGTAGATATTGGGTTGTTTTCACCTTTTGGCTTTTGCTATGAACATTTATGTACAATGTTTGAGTATCTGTTTTCAGTTCTCTTGGGTGTAATATCTAGGAGAGTAATTGCTGAGTCATATGGTAATTCTATGTTTAACTTTTTGAGGAATGACCACATTGTTTTTCCTTTGTGGTTGCACCATTTCATGTTTTTATCAGCAATCCCTGAGAATTCCAGTTTCTCTACAACTTCACCAACTCTTGTTATTTTCTGTTTTTCTGATTCTAGCCATCCTAGTGGATGTGGAGTGGTATGTTATTGTAGTTCTGATTTGCATTTGACTAATGACATAGAACTTGTTGGCCATTTGAATGCCTTCTTTGGAGAAATATCTATTAAGTCCATTGCCCAGTTTTTAATTGGGTTTTTTGTTTTTTATTATTGAGTTCTAAGAGTTCTTTCTATATTATAGATACTAGACCCTCATCAGATATATGACTTACAAATATTTCTTCCCATTCTTTAGGTTGTCCTTTCACTTTCTTGATAACGTCCTTTTATGCACAAATGTTTTTAATTTTGATGAAGTCTAATTTATTTGTTTTTTACTTTTGTTGCCCATGCTCATATCTAAGAATCCCTTGCCAAATCCAAGGTCATGAAGATGTATGCCTATGTTTTCTCCTAGGATTTTTATAGTTTTAGCTCTTATATTTAGGTTATTGATCCATTAAAAAAATTTTATTATGGTAAAATATAAAATTTGCCATTTTGTACCATTTTTAAATTAATCAATTAATTATTTTCATTTTGTACCATTTTTAAGCATACAATTCAGTGGTCTTAATTACATTCACAATGTTGTGCAGCCGTCACCATATCTTCCAAAACCTTTTCATCATTCGAAACAGAAACTCTGTACCCATTAAGGTCTAACTCCGCATTGCCTCTACTCCCAGACCCTGGTAACCTCTGATCTACTTTCTCTGAATTTGCCCATTCTAGGTACCTCATATAAATGGAATCATACAACATTTGTTCTTTTGTGTCTAGCTTATTTCACTTAGCAAGTTTTCAAACATTATCCATATTGTAGCATGTATCAGAATTTCATTCCTTTCTATGACTTTATAATATTCTGCTGTATGTATGTACCACATTTTGTTTAGCCATTCATCTGCTGATGGACATTTGGGTTGTTTCCATCTTCTGGCCGTTGTGAATAATGCTGCTGTAAACATTAGTGTACAAATATCTGAGTCCCTACTTTTAGTTCTTGGGACAAATACCTGGGAGTGGGATTGTTGGGTCTTATGATTATTCCATGTTTAACTTTCTGAGGAACCTGCTATTCCATTTTGAGTTAATTTTTTTTTTTTTTGCGGTATGCGGGCCTCTCACTGCTGTGGCCTCTCCCGTTGCTGAGCACAGGCTCCAGACACGCAGGCTCAGTGGCCATGGCTCATGGGCCTAGCCGCTCCGTGCCATGTGGGATCCTCCCGGACCGGAGCACAAACCCGTGTCCCCTGCATCGGCAGGCAGACTCCCAACCACTGCGCCACCAGGGAATCCCCTTGAGTTAATTTTCTAATATGGTATGAGGAGTGCTCTGATAACTTGGAAGCATGTTTTCATTGAGGGTGAAGACAATTATTTGTCCCAGGAGAAACCCATAGTCATTGGCCCCTTGAAGACACCCCCATGTCTGAAAGGCCACACCTACAAACCAGACATAAGCAATACCGCAGAATCGTTAGCCACGATCAGTAGGGTGAATATTGACGTCTTACCTGCAGAAAGGAGGAACTCAGTGAACAACAGCTTAGTTCAAGAGAATCAACGAAGACACTTAGATGCCTCTAAGGAGCTAGAAGGTAAATGTATTATTTCTCAAGTGAAAGAGAGGCTGCAGGATAACACTAAATCCAGTGTTCAACCTGGAAACCGAATTTCCACATGGTCCATTGACTATGTCACTGGAGAAAGGAATGACCCAGTGAAGCCTCTGCAGCCCCTAAACAAAGACCAAAATTTATCAAAGGACCAGGTGAGTGACATGCACAAGGTATTGGTTTCAGAAAGAAGACTGGAAAGTGTGGTTACAAAGGTGTGGGTTGTGTTCTTTGGTTGTGCTTTTAGTTGTGGTTTTAGGAAAATCAGTTGTTCCCATATAACAGTTTAAACATGACAGAACCAAAGGATAGGACCCAAGGAGTGCTTAGATCCTTTCTGTGCCCTGGTGTTCGGTACTTGCCATTTGCCATTAGTGTGTTTTTTCCTATTTCTACATCATTCTTTTGTAAGTCCTCCAAGTCAATGGGCAGTTCCAACAATTAGGTAATATCACATTCCTTCTTGCTTTTAAAAGTTAGTGGATTGTCTGATTTTTTAAGTTAAGGAATTAAAAAAACATATTTTATGTGTTGGAACCAAAGGAGAAGGAAGAAGAGAAGAAAAGGAACGGAACAAAAGGATTTTGATACTGAGAGACTATTCTGAGTAAATTTAAAGGGTGTCTTCTACTTGAACATGGAAAGAAGCCTAAATTAGATGAAGCATGGTAATAGCTAAGGATTAGAAAGAAAGCCAGAACATTTGATTAACTTTACATTTTTATTTGTAAAATATTTAAAGAATATATTTAATGTATATATTGACTATATTTTTATAATCTATATATATTTAAACTTTATATATTACATACATTTTCATATTTAACACTTTTATATAAATATATATAACTTTTATACGTCTATAGTCAAATGTTTTTATTTATTTTATTTATGGCTGTTTGGGTCTTTGTTGCTGTGTGTGGGCTTTCTCTAGTTGCAGTGAGCAGGGGCTACTCTTCATTGTGGTGCACGGGCTTCTCATTGTGGTGGCTTCTCTTGTTGCGGAGCACGGGCTCTAGGCACGCAGGTTTCAATAGTTTTGGTACGTGGGCTCAGTAGTTGTGGCTCGTGGGCTCTAGTGCACAGGCTCAGTAGTTGTGGTGCACGGGCTTAGTTGCTCCACGGTGTGTGGGATCTTCCCAGACCAGGGCTCGAACCTGTGTCCCCTGCATTGGCAGGCGGATTCTTAACCACTGTGCCACCAGGGAAGTCCCTCAAATGTTTTTAATAAGGTTTTGTTTTTATAGAAAAGTACAAGTATGATGCTCTTTTCATTTAAACTCATTGAATTGAAACCAAAATTTAGTCTTAAGCATTCTCTGGACACTGGAATCCTTAGTACTTTCTAGATAAAATTATATATGTCCTGCTTGTTCTGCTTGGCTGTCAAATTATATTCAAGTTCGCTTCTTTTATTTTTTCCCATAATTATTTAAAAATTTTTTAAAGTGCCAGTTCAGTGGTTTTTAGTATATTTATAAAGTTGTACATTCACTGCTATTTTCTGTTTCCAGAACATTTCCATCACCTCAAAAAGAAACCCCATACTCAATACTAGTCACTCTCCATTCCTCCGTGTCTCTAACCCTTGGCAACCATTGTCTGTATGAATTTGCCTATTCTCAATATTTCATATAAATGGAATCATACAGATACGGCCTTTTGTATCTGGCTTCTTTTATTTAGTATAATGCTTTCAAGGTTATATCCATGTTGTAGCCTGTACCAATATTTCATTTCTTTTTATTGCCAAATAAATTCTACCGTGTGTATATTTCATATTTTATTTATCTATTCATCAGTTGATGAACATTTGAGTTGTTTTCACTTTTCACTGTGGATAAAGTTGCTTTGAACATTCATGTACAAGTTTTTGTGTGGACATATGTTTTCGGTTCTCTTGGGTATATACCTAGGAGTGGAATTGCTGGATCATATGGTGACTCTATGTTTATTTTTTTTTTTTTTTTTTTTGCTGTATGCAGTCCTCTCACTGTTGTGGCCTCTCCCGCTGCGGAGCACAGGCTCCGGACGCGCAGGCTCAGCAGCCATGGCTCACTGGCCCAGCCGCTCCGCGGCATGTGGGATCTTCCCGGACCGGGGCACGAACCTGTGTCCCCTGCATCGGCAGGCGGACACTCAACCACTGCGCCACCAGGGAAGCCCTATGTTTAACTTTCTGAGGAACTGCAGAACTGTTTTCCAAAGCAACTATATCATTTTACTTCCCATCAGCAATGTATGAGAGTTGTAATTTCTCCACACCCTCACCAACACTTATTTTCTGTGTTTTTTATTTTGTTTTGTTTTGTTTTGTTTTTGATTCTAGCCATCCTGGAAGTGGTATCTTATTGTGGTTTTGATTTGCACCTCCCTAATGACTAATGTTGTTGAGCATCTTTTCATGTGCTCATTGGCCATTTTTATACCTACTTTGGAGAAATATCTATTCAAATCCTTTGCCCATTTTTAAATTGGTTTATTTATCTTTTTATTGTTGAGTAGTAGGAGTTCTTTATCAGTTACAAATGTCAGTCCCTTATCAGATATAAGATTCAAAAATATTGTCTCCCATTCTGTGGATTGTCTTCACTTTCTTTTTAAAGTATATTTTATTTTATTTTATTTTGACTGCGCCGTGCAGCATGTGGGATCTTAGTTCCCTGACCAGGGATTGAACCTGTGCCCCCAGCAGTGGAAGTGCGGAGTCTTAACCACTGGACCACCAGGGAAGTCCCACCTTCACTTTCGGTTTTTAATTATTTATTTATTTTTTTTTTATTACTTTTTTGGCTGCATTGGGTCTTAGTTGCAGCATGCAGGGCCTTCGTTGAGGTGTGCGGCATCTTTCGTTGTGGCGCGCAGTCTTCTCTCTAGTTGTGGCACATGGGCTCCAGGGTGTGTAGGCTCCAGAAAGCATGGGCTCTGTAGTTTGCAGCATGTGGGCTCTCTTGTTGAGGCGCGCGAGCTCAGTAGTTGTGGCGCGCAGGCGTAGTTGCCCCACAACATGTGGGATCTTAGTTCCCCAACCAGGGATCGAACCTGCGTCCCCTGCATTGGAAGGCGGATTCTTTACCACTGGACCCCCAGGGAAGTCCCCCATCTTCACTTTCTTGATGATGTCCTTTGGAGCATAAAAGTTTTAAAATTTGATGAAATCTAGTTTTGTCTATTTTTTCTTGTGTTGCTTCTGCTTTTAGTGTCATGAAGATTTCTCCCATAATTTCTTCTAAGAGTTCATAATTTTAACTCTTACATTTAGGTCTGAGATCTGTTTTGAGTTAATTTTTGTGTGTGATGTGAAGAAAGGGTTCTACTTCATTCTTTTGTATGCAGATATCCACTTGTCCCAGTACCATTTGTTAAAAGATTATTCTTTTCCCATTGAATTTTCTTGGGACCCTCACTGAAAATCAGTATACCCTAAATATGATCATTTAATTTTATACTCTCAGTTCTGTACCACTGATTTTTCTATCCGTATGTCAGTAACACAATTACTGTAGGTTTATAGTAAGTGGGCTTTTTTTGGCCATGCTGCACGGCTTACAGGATCTCAGTTCCCTGACTAGGGGTTGCATCCGGGCCACAGCAGTGAAAATCCGAAATCCTAACCACTAGGCCACCAGGGAATTCACTGTAGTAAGTTTTGAAATTGGGAAGGTTAAGTCTTCCAACTTTATTCTTAATTTTCAATACTGTTTTGGCTATATGGGGTCCTTTGCATTTCCATATGAATTTTAAGATTAGCTTGTCAATTTCTGCAAAAAAGCCTGGGGTTTTGACAGGGATTTTATTGAATCTGTAGATTATTTGCAGATTATTGCTATCTCAATATGTATCTTCCAACTCATGAACATAGGATATCTTCCTATTTTCTTTAGGTCTTCTTCAGTTTCTTACAATGATGTTTTGTTGTTTTAAGTGTATAAGTCTTGTACTTCTTTTGTTAAATTCATTTCTAAGTATTTTGTTCCATTGGCTTCCCTTGTGGCACAGTGGTTAAGAATCCGCCTACCAGTGCAGGGAACATGGGTTTGAGCCCTGGGCGGGGAAGGTCCCACATGCCGTGGAGCAACTAAGCCTGTGCACCACAGCTACGGAAGCCTGCGTGCCTAGAACCCATGCTCCACAACAAGGGAAGCCACTGCAGTGAGAAGCCTGCACACTGCAACAAAGAGTAGCCCCTGCTCGCCACAACTAGAGAAAGTGTGCGCAGCAATGAAGACCCAATGCAGCCAAAAGTAAATAAATAAATAAATAAATTTAAGTATTTTGTTCCTTCTGATACTATTATAAATGGAATGATTTTCATAGTGTTCATTGCTTGTGTATAGAAATACAATTAATTTTTATATATTGTCTTTATAGCCTACAGCCTTACTTAACTCATTTATTGGTTCTAATAACTTTTTAATAATGGACTCCTTAGAATTTTCTGAATACAGTATCACATCATCTGCAAATAGAGATTTTTCCTTTTCAATCTGGATTTCTTTTATTTATTTATATTTTCTTGTCTGATTGCCCTGGCTAGAACCTCTAGTACAGTGTTGAATAGGAGTGATAAGAATGGACATCCCTGTCTTGTACCTGATCAAATATGTTTCTTACATCAGGCTTTTAGAGTAGGTTTTTTTGTTTTTTTGATGGAATTTCATGTCCAGCATTTCTTTGTTGTTGTTGTTGTTATTTTGTTGTTGATAAAAGTGGAAGAACTTTTTTTAGGACCAATTGGATTTCATGGAGAAACTCCTTAAGTCATTTGGTCAGGTACTCTTATATGTATAAGCTTTATTTTGAATATTCTATACTTAATACCAGCAGAGAAACTTTTATTTCACTCTTCAGAATTAAATCAGTTACTGTTTATTATCTGGGTATCCTTGCATAGCTATCATATCACACTGTTCCTTTTTCTAAAATGTACCACGTAGTGGGCTCTTGATAAAGATGTGTTGATTGGGCTTCCCTGGTGGCACAGTGGTTGAGAGTCCGCCTGCCGATGCAGCGGACACAGGTTCGTGCCCTGGTCTGGAAGATCCCACGTGCTGCGGAGCGGCTGGGCCTGTGAGCCATGGCCGCTGAGCCTGTGCGTCCGGAGCCTGTGCTCTGCAATGGGAGAGGCTACAACAGTGAGAGGCCTGCGTACTGCAAAAAAAAAAAAAAAAAAAAATTAATGTAAGAAGCTATTTTATTTTAATGTTTGGTGTGCATTAGTTTCTAAAACCAGCTCTCCAAATAAAACACTAAGTCCTTGGTGATCTTCATAATTTAAAAGTTAACTTATTTTATCTTTACTACTGCTAGTAGTAGCTCCTGGTTTCTGAGCATCTAATATGTGCTAGATGTGGTCTTAAGTACTATAGTGCACAATCTCCTCTAATCCTCCAGTAGTCACATGATGTGTGTGACGCATTATACCCATTTATAGATAAGGAAACAGAGGTTCAGGGAGATATGACTCCATCTGAATCTAAGCTTGTGATCTTTTCATGGTGCTTTTTAGAGGGCATCCAAATAACTAATGTTTACTTGGGAAGTATGTGTATATTAAATTGGATTTCATTTAAAACATTTGTTAGTTTTCTGAATTGCAAACCTATTAAAAGTTATAAAAAGATTGTTAAAAAACTAAATGAACATTGGTAGTTTCAGGTTAATAACAATCTGAGTAATTTAATTAAAATAATTATTTTTATTTGGGAAAAGAGAAGAAAACCCAGAATATGTAGATAACTGATGCCAGCATTCTGTCTTTGCCTGTCAACACTGAAAATAAGCATTCATTTTGAGAAAGACAGCTCCTCCTTCTTTCATTTACAATTTTAGAAGTAGATATGGCAGGTTTGGCTATTTGGAAGTTCAAAAGACTGTTTCATTATTCTATTTTGGTTTTTTGTTTGTTTCGTTTTATTTTTTTTTATTTTTTTTTTTTGCGATATGTGGGCCTCTCACTGTCGTGGCCTCTCCCGCTGCCGGATGCGCAAGCTCAGCGCCCATGGCTCACGGGCCCAGCCGCTCCGCGGCACGTGGGATCCTCCCGGACCGGGGCACGAACCCGCATCCCCTGCATCAGCAGGCGGACTCTCAACCACTGCGCCACCAGGGAGGCCCACTCGTTTTATTATTTTTAAGGATCAAGTTGCTGGTGAACGTGTTATAGAAAAACAGGACAGAATCCACCCAGCTTTACAGCCACACAGCTCTGGGTCTGAACCTTTCCTGTCTCAACAGCGGCGGCAGAAGAAAAGAGAACATACTGAGCATAGTGAGGAAAAGAGACAGGTCAGCAGAGATCTCTTTGGAATAAGTCATTGTGCTGCTGCTTGGGAAACAGACTTTAGGAAACTTCATTTCTATTTAGAATGATGTGCTAAAAAGGCACATACATAATGCAAGGAACATATAAAGAAGGGTAGAAATACTAAATATTAGTTATCAAATGTCAGTGAGTTGGAAGCAGAGTGAGGATTTTATCTTCTCCAGCAAGGATGGACAGCTCATTTTGAGAGTTAAAGGAACAGGCCAAAAAAGGTAAATCTCTGATTCCTCTTATGTCATATTAATGAACAGTTTCTCCCTCAACTTCTGCATAAGGTCGTGGCAACCCCTCATTTCTGGAAGTAACTTTCACAGGTACCCTCTCTATAAGCTTCTTAAGTGGTCATTCACTTTTGGCAGAGTTTCTTCCCCTCCGCCCTCCGCCCCCCGCCCCCACCAAATGCAATGTTTTAAAGTTTTTGAGAGGGAATCACTGACAAATACACAGATTTACCAATGGGGGACCTTTGGAGGTAGATGTATATGACACTGATAATCTCCCTCTCTTTGTTAATTATGGAAGTTCCAAGAGACTCCTCCTCGTCTTTTGCCTTCTCTTTCTACTGTTGGAAAAGTGGATGTCACATCAACACAAAAAGATGCTGAAAACCAAAGTAGAGTGGTCACTGGGTCTGTGAGCAGTTCGAGGAACAGTGAGATATCATCATCAAAGGTTGGTAGGAGTCTATGTTGGATTTTTTTAAGCTTTATTATAAAACTTTTTGGTTGTAAATCCTGCATATATTGTGAAGTTTTATATTAAAACATCTTAGCCCTGCTTTTTGCCAAACACTGGAAAGCGCAAATTTGTGATTCTCAACAGAAGCTTTGATTGAAATGGACAGATTCTATTGTTTCAGGGCTGGTCACTTCCAGTTAATTAAGGAGACCAAGTGGATTCTGAATGTAGGAAATGCAGAAATACCTATTTGCCCTTCCAAAGATGAGCTCTTCCTAGAAATGAGGGCTGTGATCATCCTAGCTAGGAGTTGTAAGCCCAACGTGAACTGGTTTCAAATGGACACTCCCTTAAAGACCTGTGCAGGGCCTTTCCTGTAGTGCTGGATGATATGTCATGCATTGTAGGTATTATAAGAACAGTGAATAGGAATGGAAGTAACTGACTTTCTTTAAAAGGACCGACCATTATCAGCAAGAGAGAGGAGGCGACTAAAGCAGTCACAGGAAGAGATCTTCCCCTCAGGTAAAGTTGTTCTCTTTCCTTCATCTATTGGAGGTTATTGGTATGGCTCATGGACATAGCATTGGTACTGATTGTGAGGTGTTAAGAATTTCCAGCATCAGTAATCCATTTGGGAAACCAATTTAGAAGAATTTTTGAAATTTCCTAGTCAAGCCTTTAAAAAAATTGGCATAGTATTGGATCTGGAACTTGTGTTATTAGAGAAAGAGGACTCTAAAAAGAGAGCGAGAGAGCTTTGAGTGACAGTAACTCCTGGGAGATTTCAGACAGGAAAGCAGTCAGGCGAGTGTTTACTTTGTTTCCATGTTCAGAGTCTGTTGGTCAGAGAAGTGCTCTCTTCTCAGGAACAGAGAGAGGAAGCCAGGAGAATGGTACTGCCCTGGGCTGAGGGCTGTGATCATTCCTATTACTATTATCTAAAGACAACATATTCTAGCAGTTTCCATTTATCGAATACTGACAATGTCTCAAACATTATGCTAAGTATTTTAAGGGCATTATCTCATTTCATATTTTGCAATGGAGGAGACTGAGGGTCAGAGGGGTTAAGTAACTTGCCCAAGGTCACAGGGCTGGTAGACCTAGACCTGAGATTTGAACTGAGGTGTCAGACACCAGAGTGATGATGAATATGCTGTCTGAGTTCCTTCTAGGCTGGCCCTTGCTGGGGTATCTTCCATAAACAGTGCAAAGCCCTCTTCTATTGAGGCCAGCCCACCATAAACAACTGCTGGGGCTTGTCACTTTTTCAGGCCCTTCAGTGAGGAGAGTTTCTCTGAGTCCAGCGGGGCCAGGGAAACCACAAGAGGAAGGCCACCCTACCCCTGCTCAATGGTTGTCTTCTGACTGCAGCGTTGCTCAGGTACATTACATAGTCCTAAGGTAAAAGGTAGACATGTCTACATCTGGCAAGCCTAATAACGGTAAACTTCATAAATGCCAGCTCTATTTATTCCTGGGACAGTGCTGACTTAAGTTACACTTTTCACATTTCTCTGATAAGAAAAAGAACTGGTCAATAATAATTAAAAGGATTTTGTTTCCTTCATTAAGGGAATGGACTTTTCAGGCACTCTTGTAAACAACTGGCAGCCTAGTTAATATCTTTCTTAGGCAGTCTTTTAAACAAGACTTCCAAAGGGCTTCCACTAGGCAACACTTTGCTTATTCTGCTGTGTTAATAATATACCAAACGACCTGGCCAGATTTTAGTCTCACTTGCTGATCCTTCCTTTGTTTTCTGTTTGTGTCAAAGTACCTTACCTTTCCACCCACGGATAATGTAGGAGCACCATTTGGTGGCTAAATGGATAATTGCAAGGTTTTAACCACGTTCACTTTTTTGTGTAATAATACCCTGGGAATAATTATTCAGTTTTCTGTATTCCAGTTTTTGACCTCATTTCTAGGAGCATATAATTACTTTTTTTAAAAAAGAAACTTCCTGCCCTTGAAAGTAATGAAGATTTTTTTCCTTTAACAATAGTGTGTGATTTAGTTGCTTCACTAATTAAAATGATCCTCTTTATTTTCAAAAGTTGTAATATTTGTGTGTAATTATACCAGGTAATCCTTTAAAGCATTTAACAATGAGTATCATGGGTGAGCAAACTGAGGTTACTTTTTATTTAGGTGGCATTCTGTCTAGTTTAAAATGCCAACATTCCTTATGGTACCAGCCCTCTGCTTAGAAGTTCAAACACCAGAACTGTTTGTCTGCTCTCCTCTGGAAAGGAAATTGCTTCTTAGCTGAGACTTTCCAGGACCTTATAAAACGTCACCTTGATGTTCCTCAGGCTTCACTTACGAACTTCATGGGTGAACTGGGACATTATTTGGTAAAGTAACTTCAACTTTTATATCCATAGTTCTCCTGTTAAATTGGACCTAGGTGCACATTGTGTCTAGGCATTGCATCGAAGACTGTTTCATGTTTTACATTCTGGTTGTGTTGTCATGTGGAATTTTGTATTTCCAAACATTAATAGGAAAGGAAACTCACCCATTGTCTCTCTGAGGATGAGTTAAGTTCTTCTACAAGTTCAACTGATAAATCAAATGGGGATTCCAAGGAAGGGTAAGTTCTTATTTTTCTATCTCCTTTCATAAGATATTTCTGTTTAACTTAATTTTATTCTAATTTAATTTTATTTTTTTACTTAAAAAAATTTTATTGAAGTATAGTTGATTTACAGTGTTGTATTAATTTCTGCTGTACAGCAAACTGACTCAGTTATACATATATTCTTTTTCATATTCTCTTCCATTATGGTTTATCACAGGATATTGAATAGAGTTCCCTGTGCTATACAGTAAGACCTTGCTGTTTATCCGTCATATAAATAATAGTTTGCATCTGCTGATCCCACACTCCCAATACTTCCCTCCCCCACCCCCACCCCCCTTGGAAACCACAAGTCTGTTCCCATGTCTTTGAGTCTGTTTCTGTTTCACAGATATGTTTGTTTGTGCCATACTTTAGATTTCACAAATAAGTGATATCATATGGTATTTGTCTTTCTCTTTCTGACTTACTTCGCTTAGTATGATAACCTCTAGGTCCATCCATGTTGCTGCGAATGGCATGATTTCATTCTTTTTAGTGGCTGAGTAATAGTCCATTGTATGTATGTGTATATATATATGTATGTGTGTGTATGTGTATCTATCTATCTGTCTATCTCACATCTTTATCCATTCATCCGTCAATGGACATTTAGGTTGTTTCCATGTCTTAGTTATAGATAGTGCTGCTATGAACATAGGGGTGCATGTATCTTTTCGAATTATAATTTTGTCTGGGTATATGCCTATGAGTGGAATTGCTGGATCACATGGCAACTCTATTTTTAGTTTTCTGAGGAACCTCCATACTGTTTTCCATAATGGCTGCACCAATTTACATTCCCACCAACAGTGTAAGAGGGGTCCCTTTTCTCCACATCCTCTCCAGCATTTTTTTTTTTTTTTTTTTTGCTGTTTCTCCAATTATGTTGCTAGCACAATTTTCCTTTTTTTTTTTTTAATCTTTATTGGAGTATAATTACTTTACAATGGTGTGTTAGTTTCTGCTTTATATCAAAGTGAATCAGTTATACATATACATATGTTCCCATATCTCTTCCCTCTTGCATCTCCCTCCCTCCCCTGCTCCCTATCCCACCCCTCTAGGTGGTCACAAAGCACCAAGCTGATCTCCCTGTGCTATGCGGATGCTTCCCACTAGCTATCTGTTTTACGTTTGGTAGTGTATATATGCCCATGCCACTCTCTCGCTTTGTCACAGCTTATCCTTCCTGCTCCCCATATCCTCAAGTTCATTCTCTAGTAGGTCTGTGTCTTTATTCCTGTCTTACCCCTAGGTTCTTCATGACATTTTTTTTTCTTAAATTCCATATATATATGTTAGCATATGGTATTTGTCTTTCTCTTTCTGACTTACTTCACTCTGTATGACAGACTCTAGGTCCATCCACCTCATTACAAATAGCTCAATTTCGTTTCTTTTTATGGCTGAGTAATATTCCATTGTATATATGTGCCACATCTTCTTTATCCATTCATCTGATGATGGACGCTTAGGTTGTTTCCATCTCTGGGCTATTGTAAATAGAGCTGCAATGAACATTTTGGTA